AGTCAGTCAAGTGGAATTGAATTTCCAAAGTCGAATAACATTTATGGTTTTTGATTTTGCGTCGTAAACCTCTGTACTGTGGATCAAGGACACTGTGCATCAGGTTACCTTGAGCCGCTGATAAATTTTAAAAGACGGATACCTTTAAGTTGGTGAAGAAGTGATGCGTGCGGTGTACAACTGAGAGGGGCGCGTGGTGGTGTGCGGAGCGCGCCCGTGGCGGCGCCGGGCCACTCTGCGGTGACGAACATGACAACTCCGACGCAGACTTGCTCAGCCGCCCGCTCAGCGCCTCCGACCGCTCTGACAAACAATACAACTAATTGTATATAGATATACGATATATAGACATACGGTAGAACTTTTTTACATTTAACGGGAAATAGCTGTCGATCGAGGGTCCGTCAGCGCAGAATTTGAAAAAAAAGCTTAGAAGCCTGTGTACTTCCAGACTACATTTTACATCTATGTCAAATTTCATAGAGATCCGTTCAGCCTTTCTGGAGATACCTTCAAACAAACATCCATCCATTCATTCATTCTAACATTTGTCATTTATAATAATAAGTAAGATGTAAATGTCTTTGTTCTTTAGGTATTTTTTTACTAACTATATATTATATCAGTGTGATTCGATTTATATGTGTTTTTGAAGACAAAATTTTCATGAACAAAAACACTATTTATATAAATAAATTTACCAAAATGTTTAAAATAAACGTTAAATGTATTTTACCGCGGAGGAAAATAGATTACCGTTCTTGAACCAATATTCCCTACGTCCCAAAAAGGTTATGTAAAAGTCAAGAACAAAATCAACGTATAAGGAAAACCTTTGTCTTCAATTTAGCTAACAACGTGTACTTAAATTTGCATAATAAAAAGCAAATTAAACTTTTCTACTAGAGAAAAATCTTTGTTGAAATTCGTAGCATAACTTAGTGATTTAAATTGCTTTTGTAAAAACCGCAATTATATCTTTACTAAACTACCACGAATTCTATCAAATAAAGTCAGCAAGAAAATGCCTTAAAACGAATAAAATTGCAGGCTCCTAATTGCAATATGCTTTCAATTGTTTTTGACATTTTTAAATAATCCGTATTAAAAAATACTTTGGAACTATTTAATAGGAATTTCAAATTTCTATTTTATATTTTAGTAAAATAATTGACCTTTGTTTTCCTTTTAGATCTAAAATATACCTAAATCTCTGTAAACGTTCAAATATGACAAAGCAACTAAGGTCTTGATAAATCCAGTTATCCAACTTTGATATTTACACAACGTAACTTGAAATGGTCCCGGGATCGAATCAAATTACTAACTTTGAATAGAACCTTGTCGCATTACGCTTTGTTTAATAATTTTGTATGTACAGCGAAGTTTTATTAGTTGAAGAAAAGTTTCATTTTAATATTAATATTTTAATTTCTATGCTAATAAAGGAATAATTATTTTTTCTTGGTTTTCAAAATTAATTGCAAAATTTGATTTTGTGTTAATATTTCGGCAATTCTCTACAAATGTATAGGTTTAGTAAATTAATATAGTCTATACTTAAAAAGCGTCGTGAGCGTCGGTGGCTCAGGGGTCAAGCACTTGACTTACAATCTGCAGGTCCTGGGTTTGAATCCCGCCATGTACCAACGTGTTTTTCCATTTCCGATTTACACATGTACATTTCTCCGACGTTCTTACGGTAAAGGAAAACATCGTGATATGTGTGAAGTCAACCAACCCGCACTTGGCCAGCGTGGTTGACTATGGCCTAATCACCCTTAACTTAAGGTAGGCTCCGAACCCCTCGGTGGGGACGTATAGTGAGCTGATGATGATACTTAAAAAGATAAAAGATATGTTTGTTTGCATTGAATAGGTTTCGAAACTATTGAACCGATTTAAATTATTCTTTAACTGTTGAGAAGCTACACTAAAGTGAAGTGACATAGGCTATATTTATTATTAAATATTTTTAATTCCGCGCGGACGAAGTCACAGACAATTGCTAGTTTGCAATAGGTCAGACATAAAAATATTCATTGTAACTTTTGAGCTTGCTATTTAGTTTTTAATCTTTTTCTGTACTCGTAAAATGAAGCTCTTTACAAAGCTTTTAAGCTTAATACAAGCGTGCTTCACTTAAGGGATCACGAGGAATCCTTTCTCATATGTATTCAATATAAAAATTCTTGTTAAAACAGTATTCACGTTTTTATATGGTTATTTAACAAATGGTTAGAATATTCCTACACACAATTTACGTATGTAGTCAAAGAATTAAATTCGCATCCCACTTAGAATCCGTAAAACAGTATCAGTAAAAACTAAACGAACGAATGCTAATTTATTTTTAACAGTATTACAGCCAGTGTTATTTTACGTTGTAGGTGAATAATATTAAAAATTTAACACGTAATTACTTTCATTAAAGAATTCACATATCCTGACCGCACGCACCATAATTACGGTCACGAAACATCAAGTGAATATTTAATTTTTGCCTACCTAATTCCAAGGTAAGTGAAAATAAGGTATAACTTACTAATATTATAAATGCGAATGTTTAGATGGATGTGATGTGGATGGATGGATGGGTGTTTGAAGATATCTCTAGAACGGCTAAACGGATCTCGATTAAATTTGGCATACGTATAGAACATAGTCTGAAAGAACACATAGGCTATACTAATTAAGTTATTTATATATCCACGCTCACAGAGTCGCGGGCGACAGCTAGTTTATAATATTAGTAAGATTAGTAAACGTTTACCCAAGCCAAAGTAATTATTTTAAAAGCATTATACGACTGGAAACTAGTGCCTGGTGTGGCTTCAAATTGCATTAATCATTCTAGGAAACTATAACACTTGATAATGAATAAACTAGTTGTCTGTTGGAATACAAACTAATTTATTAGGAAACATATTTTGTTACTAGCTGTCGCCCTCGACTACGTCCGCGCGGAATTAAAAAAAAACTTGATCGCAGCGTAATGTTATATAGCCTAAAGCCTTCCTAGCTTTCTTCTATAAATGGACTATCCAACAAAAAAAAATTGTCAAATCGGACCAGTACTTCCTGAGATTAGCGCGTTTAAACAAACAAACAAACTCTTCCGCTTTATAATATTAGTATAGATTTTTGTTTTTTTTTACTTTTTAATTATTTAATAATTAGTGTATTGTCATTTTTTAATTTAACTCTTTGTATTTTGTTTAAGAATAAATTGTATATATAATACATAGATTAAGTAGTTTTAGACATTATTAGTTGGAATCCTTTGGCGCGAATTCGTGCTTTCGTTACCAAGTCAAGTGTCAGATTGATTGTGAGGGAACATAAACGTTGACATTTTCATAAGGCTAGTGTTGCGCCGATACACCAGCATAGTGTCGGATTTTTTCCTAACAGTAGGTCACAAGGAAGAACGGAACATCCAATCACAAGCCCTAAATGGATGCTTAAAGGAAAGTCCCGGCACAAATGTTAGTATGTACCATTTTTTTGAAGCAATAAATTTTCACATATATCACGCGTGAACAGATGGAACAATTTCAGTAATTCTTTTTTGTTTATTATTGTCAATATTCACGCTCACCATTTCTCCGTGTCAAAGGACTTTGTAAGTCGAGTGAAGCTTATCCGATAATAAAACATGAGGATCTAACCTTATTACGTTTATTTATAACACGGCTACGTTTGAAATCACATGGGATTTTCCGAAACACTGAGTCAGTATTCGTGGTATGTTTTATTTTCTTTTTTAATGTAAAAAATTGTATACATATATACTAATATTATAAAGCGGAAGAGTTTGTTTGTTTAAACGCGCTAATCTCAGGAACTACTGGTCCGATTTGAAAAAATCTTCTATCTTTTGTTAGATAGTCCGTGTATAGAGGAAGGTTTTAGACTATATAACATTGTGCTGCGACCAATAATTTTTTTAATACCGCGCAACGGAATCGCTGGCGATAGCTTATGTATAAATTAAATTAGCTGTCGCCCATGTCTTCGTTCACGCGGTATTAAGAAAGATAATTAGTAACCTATGTGTTTTTCTTCATTATATTCTATATCATAGGCCAAATTATAGAGATCTGTTGAGTCGGTCTGGAGATATCTTTTAACAAATATTCAACCATACATCGAAACATTCGCATTTATAATATTAGTAAGATTTCTATTTCTCAAGTAGTAACAAACATTTTTATTTACAGTGTTACTAATATCTTACTTCTTACTAATGAGTTTAGGTGGATCTTCATGAAATTTGGTATAGATGTAGAGCATAGTCTGTAAGAACACACAGGCTACATATGAAGTTTTGTTTATTTCTCGCGCGGACGGAGTCGCGGTCGACAGCTAGCAACATATAACAATAAGACAGCCGATTAAATTATATACCAAACAGCAAATTGAGTGAGTTAAAAGTATTAAGAATAAGAAAGCATCATTTAATTCCCGCTGTAAAGTTCAATGGGCTGTAGAAGGCAGTCAGTCGGCGTACAAAGGAAGGTAATCCGGTATGATACGGTTCACGTACGTACCAAGGAGAGCTTACACTCATTTCAACCTCGTTGCTAAATAATATTGTCATTTATAAAATAACGAACGATTTTTACTATTGTCAGTTTTTGTATTATTAGTAAAACTAGGTGAGTCATTTTGATAGACACATTTAACCCTTAATCAAACTACGCAACCTTGTAACAGCGGGCGTACTAAATTATTTATTTATTTGAAGGTGGAATGGCACAATTCCCATTATATATTTATTGTTATAATGTCAATCTAACGTCGTAACAATGTAGCGTCAGTGTCTTTTCCTTTTTAAACACTAACAATTAAAAAAAACAAGGATATTTTATAATTCTGCATTCGATTTACATGTGTTTGAAGTCCAAATCGATTCATTCGCTTTAATCGATTTTTAAACAGATCACCTCGCTATGGAGCAAAAAAAAAGTAGATTTCAAATGTGATCTAGTAAATTGGCTCTGTTATGCTTTTTTCATGTACATTCTTGTACATTAAAAATGTAGACACATTAAATTTTAGCACACTATCGTTAAACGAAATATTTTTATTTTTAACTTTCTAACTAAAATGTAGCACACGTAACATAGTATACCAAGTTTAACTACTCATTTAAAAGTGTTTTCTCTCGCGCTCCTGGTTTACTCCAGCTGTGGCTTAAAGCAAAATGTTTACACAGCATCCAAGTAATGAGGCTTTGATAGCCTCGTAGGGATTAAGCTATCAAAAGACATTGCGTTTTTATTTATAGAAACAGTTTTGAGCTTAATTTAGTAATCGGGATTTTTTTAAATGGTTATCGTATAATCCTATCATAACATAGTTACTATATTATCATCCACGCTTTTTCGTACTAACTTGTTTATATGATAAAATGGTATCGAGCGTGGGACCACCTAAATTCGCCGAAATAGCGAAGCGACTGCTGCCCATAAACATATGCAATTGAAGATGTATTTGCCTACCTTTCATCGATTGAGGAAAAGACGCACGTAAAGTGTATATTTTCCTGCTTTTACATCCATTCCTCCATCAAATACACTTCCTATTTCCATCCTTTCCTTATAATAAAAGGGTGGGTTAGAAAAGAGGACTAAAACGATTTCAACATGTGGCCACTATCTTATCGACTACAATTATGTTAAGCGTCCCCCAAGCGTGGACATGTAGCAACATTTTGCGATATATTTAACGTAGGATTAATCTGATAAACGCCCAGTTCCCCTCTACAACGTTATGTCGCCCATTACATGATGAAATTTGTTTCAACATATAATTAACATGTTGGTAGACTGTTTAATTCAGTTTGAAATTCATCACCATAAGCTCACTATACGTCGCCACTGAGTAGCTCGGAGCCTACCCTAAGTTAGGGTCGACTAGGCCATAGCCAACCACGCTGGTCAAGTGCGGGTTGATTGACTTCACACAAATCTTTGAATTTCTTCTCTGATATGTGCAGGTTGCATCACGATGTTTTCCTTCAACGTAAGAACGTCGGATTAATGTACATATGTAAATCGGAAATCGAAAGACACATTGGTGCATGGCGGGATTCGAACCTAGGTCCTGCAGATTGCAAGTCAAGTGCTTGATTCCTGAGTCACCGACGCTCTCAGTTTGAATTTAACTTACATTATTTTTTAATTAATAGGTAACTAAAATATTTTTTCTTTATTATAAAAAAAATACACTTTTAAATTAATAAATATTGTAGTTAAAAATTAATTAGTTCTGAGCACACTAGAGATGGCTTGTAATCAAAAATCTAGAAATGTTTTTCGTTTTAATAAAAACTTTTTGCTTCATTAAATTTTCATTGTATTGTTTATTTCGACTTTTGATATTATTTGGAGTCCAGTTATATAATATCGTATTATATATGTCGTTTTTAAAAGGAGTCAGAATGAAAAGGCGGCAATACAAATTGCTTATCTTACTATACTACTAATATTATAAATGCAAATGTTTAGATGGATGGATATTTGTTTGAAGGTATCTAAATGGAATATCTAAAACGGCTAAACGGATCCCTATGAAATTTGGCATACATATAGAACATATTCCGAAAGAACACATAGGCTACTTATAATGTTGTTTTAATTCCTAGCGGACAGAGTCGCGGGCGACAGCTAGTATGTGTAGTCTAGAAAAATTACTAGTGCTGAAAAATAACTTGATATCACAAAATTAATATGAAAAAATGTTTACGAGCCATTTCTAGATATGGCACGTTCTTTATGCTACGTGATGGGAATAAATTGTGTTTTTCTATATCTTTATTATGTCACGCAATATTTTTGTCTTACTAAATTATTTGTTCAATATTATTAACAATTTATTAATTTATGTAATACTAGCGGTGGCCCACGTCTTCGTCCGCGCGGAATTAAAACATAATTAATAGCCTATGTGGTCTTCCAGACAACTTTCTATATGTATGTTAAATTTCATCAACATCCGACAAGTCGTTCTTAAGATACCTTCAAACAAACATCCACCCATCCATCCAAACATTCGCATTTATAATATTAGTAAGAAGTAAGTTTTTACATAGCAATATATGTTAATAGAAGTGTCAAGGCTTTCTATAGTCAGACATACAACCTCGAAAAAAAACTTAGTAACAATGATCATGAAAATAAAAGGCATGAAAACGTAATTTAAAAAACAATTTATTCCATACAAAAGGTATTGCTTTCTTTCGCTTTTGTTATTGCAACAAAGATCCGTTAAAACGTTTGAGTTCGTTAGTTTTTTGTTCGTTTTTTTTGTTACATTCTGCACACTTGTCATGTGACCTATTTTACAAGCCTCGTGTTATTTATACAAAGAAAAGAAAAAAAAGTCTAATAAATTAATCAGGTGATTAATTAATTATGAACTTTAATGGTTTATGTTATAATATATTAATTTCACTCACAATTTTCAAGTAAAGTACTGGATAACTATCTTACTAATATTATAAATTGCGAATGTTTGGATAAATGGATGGATGTTTGAAGGTATCTCCAGAACGGGAGGACAGATCCGATAGATGATAGAACTTACTGAAAGAACACATAGGCTACTTATTAAGTTTTTATTTCATTCCGCGCGGGCGAAATCGCAGGCGACAGCTAATCTAATAAATTAACCGACACACAATACTTCCTGTTATAATAGTTTCCGTTTCACAGCTTTTTGAAGATTATAAAACGCATTTTGACAAATAATTTCCAAGTAACTTATTCGGGACTTGTACACTGTGAAAGACTGTAAATTTAATTTTTCTCTACTGCATAACGTCGTCCTTTTGTGAAAGGCTCTAAGTTTAATTTCTGTATACTGCATAACGTCGTCCTAGTTAGCATAAATATTCTATGAACTGTGAACTTTAGCTCACGCTAGGCTTTCACGTGGGAATATTGATAATACGGTGCCGATTTAATCAGGTGCTTTTATTTTTAGTATTGTATATTGCTTCATTGCTTTTGTAAATTAAATGCTTGGTTGGTTATTGATGGTATTAAAATCTTGTGCCATCGGCAAATCATGAATGCCGCCTGCTTTTAATTTGCCTTCGCAAAATGTAGGGACTTGGCAAATTACATATCGGACGATTTCAATAATTCTGTACGTTAATTCCTTGGATATGAAATTACAAACAGGCGGCATTCACAAAAATCTTACTAATATTATACATGCGAATGTTTGGATGGAAGGATGTATGGATGTTTATGAGAAGGTATAGTCAAAGAAGAGAAATTTGACACAGGTGTAGAACAGTGTCGTGAAGACGTAGTCACGGGCGACAGCTAGTATTTTCATAAAGTGTTAGAGTGCTAAAAATACTTTTTAACGTCATTGCGTCATGTAAAATGTTGTAAAAACCCAGTGGAGTTAACTGGTAGCATAAATAATGGTCGTAGTACCCAGTTATTAGAAATACGACATTTGCGGCGTAGCGTTCGCCTGGGAATCATTTGAGTCACGACATCTCACGTGTTCCTTTGTGTAACGCGTACGGTTTTCATATTTCTACTTTTTAAATTTAATTTTTAATCTATCAGTTTTTATAGATTAATTAACATTGTTTCAGTTTTATATTTATATTAACTGTTTCTTTAACATGCTGTAAGGTTAGTTTTTTAATTATATTTGGTCTTCATGCTCTTCTTTACTTGTGTTATTATACAAATAAACACATTTTCAAATCCCTTATTACCCCTAAAAAAAATTAATAGCAATATATTTTTGCATGAACTTGTGTGTGTATATTTTGACAGTGAAAACACACTATTTGTTTAACTTTTATCAAATGTAAATATCAAATAATAAGTTTAATTATTTTATAATATTGTCATGTAATGTCGTAAAATAGAAAGGCTACAAATGGAATACAATATAACAAGAGTCCGGGGCTTATCTGATTTTACTCTATGTCAGATATGTCATAGAGCTTTATAGTGTAACACGAGCGAGCTTTTGTATACCTTATCGCTGTAAGCTCGCAATGTTTACATCAACAATATACTTTCAACTGTTGAAATGGTTTACAATGAAAAGGAATTGGGTGTCGTTTCATTTACCATGGGTTTTTGAAACCAAAATCTTCGTTTAAAGCATATTGTTACCTTAAACATGTCAAAGATATGTTTTGAACGGGGATTTTAGTCATGGAATCCCACGATCAATGTATTAGTTAACGGTGATATTATTGCAAAAATAATATTGATAATTATATTAGAACAAGTAAGGGTTAAACTCACTCGGTTGCGGCGAGTGCTTCTTCGCGGACATATCATCCAGCTCTTGTCAGCTGCCGCATCGCACGCACGTGATCATGGAGCTCGCTCGCCACGCCCTCTGTCGATCAACTCACACACTAACTGGGCTAGCTAGCACCAAACCTGAGAACAAAGAAATAAACATCTTAACACGTACAATGCCGACAGTTTTCTTTGGTGAAAGCTTAGTTTTATAACAAAGTGAGTCAAATGAAAATGCGGAATGCGGGAAGACATTGTAAAAATTGTAGAGACAAAGAAAGTGTTGGCATAAGTAGTAGACAAATTATGAATACACCACGGAAATATTTGTCGATCTGGTAATTTTTTTCGTAGGCGTCTGTTTTTTGTAGACTTGTTATTAAATTGCTTTAGTGATTCTAAAGTGTAGAGTTATTTAATTCCTTTACTTCCCTATGGTGTTTTAAAAATGTAAAGTCAATGGTTTTTTTATAGTTGACACAACGTTATGTGAGCAGTTGTTTATTACTTCGATATAACAATGAAAGTAAATTCCCGACAAGTTCCTATTTCCGAGAAGACTCGGAATTATTTGGAACGACAGTACCCGAGGTCAACGCAAATCTTCAGCCGAGCTCTATATTTAGTATTTAAAATCGCTTTCCAATTCAATTCCTAACCTTTAAGCTTCAAGCTCTAAGCTGAAAGGTTTTTTTTATAATTAATTTTATGACATTAGTTAAGATAGCTCTAAACAAAAATACTGTTTTAATTTTTTTTTCCTTTGGACCGCCAAGATATTTAATTTTTTTTATTTAATGACTGAAAATTACCGGATTCAATTAAATTGAAGTTTTTTGGGTTCCGTATCTCATAGAAAAACGGAACCCTTATAGGATCACTTTGTTGTCCGTCCGTCTCAGACCCTTTTTTTCTTTTCGAACACTAGTCATGGGTTTTAATATACTTAAATATATGTGAAAAATATAACACTGTTACTTCAAGCTTATATGGATATGGACAATCGGTTGATTATTTTAATGCGACCTAACTGGGTTACTCAAGTCTTAACAATTTATACAACTTTAAAGCAACTTTGTTACAACTTTTATCAACAGAAACTTCTTACTAAAAGATATCTTGCAAGAGAATACGACAAAGTAATGAATTATGATGTTCATACCTAAATCTTACCGCTGAAATAAGATAATCTATTGTCAGGAATTTTATCAACTTTTAAGATTATCTTCGCGATCAAAAAGTAATAGATTTTAAATAAATAATTAGTATATGTTGTGATATGAATGCAAAGGTTTAGTGGAAACAATTCCGCGTTTCGTCTGATAAATGTGCTTCCCGGAGGCCTAATTTAGTCCTCTTTCCGTTCCCACCCTTTTTCTTATAAGGAAAGGATGGGAAGGGAAGGAAAGGGAAGTCGATTAAAGGTAGGCAACGCATATGCAATTGCGTATGTCTATGGGCAACGGTCACTTCGGTTCTTCTTCTTGAGGTGCCTCTCCGACTAGCGAAGGTTGGCGATCAGTTCTCCATATTCACTCGCTCACTCTCCGTGGGCACTTCGCTATTTCAGCGATTTCAGGTGGCCGCTCTCTCATTTGCCACCTTATAATTTGAAACATATATATATATATATATATATATATATATATATATATATATATATATATATATATATATATATATGTGTGTGTTTGTTATCACGTAACTCCAAAACGGCTGAACAGGTCTTGATGTAATTGTAATAGATGAAACAGAGACAGATTACAGTTTAAAATGGGACATATGCTACATTTTTGATTCTACGTAATATACTAGGCAACACCATCTTTTCTAATACTAAAAACATCTTGTTCAGTATAACGATCGCTTATACACTTGTTGTCTCTTTCTCACGCTTAATATTCCTCTTGGGATGCTGGTTTGGATCATTGCCAAAATAACAAGGTCAATGAACCTCACAACTTCTTCTGTGTAACCTTTGTGTGCAAAAATATAAGTAATTTTTTTAACTCGCTGTTGATCCACTTATCTCTGCATATCCCCTAAATTTATGGGCGTGAGTATATAACCCGGGTTACAAGCAATAAGACGTCGTTAGTAACGAAAAGCACATGTAAATCATATAATTTGTATTTTTTCACACGTAACAAAAGTTCAAATATTTAGATCTAGAATAATGTATGTACAACATACGAAATACCTTAGAAAATAGGCTCTTCATACATTATAATATTATTAACTGCCATCCGCAATTCCATCTACGCGGAATAAAAAAAAATACTAACCTATGTGTTCTTCCAGACTATGTTCTATATCTATCCCAAATTTCGGCGAGATCCGTTTGACCGATCTACGTATGTACCACAGACGTAATAACAAACATCCATCCATATAAACTTTCACATCTATACTAATATTATAAAGCGGAAGAGTTTGTTTGTTTAAACGCGTTAATCTCAGAAACTACTGGTCCGATTTGAAAAAACTTTTTTTTTGGATAGTCCATTTATAGAGGATTGCGATTAGGATATTACGCTGCGACCAACAGTTTTTTTTTAATTCCGCGCGGACGGAGTCGCGGGCGACAGCTAGTTTAAATTATTAATGAGAAGTAATATTTTATCTATGTTTTGAGTCATAATATATTCATCAAATATAATTGAATAAAAGCCTAACAATTTACGTTGACACCAAAAAACGTAATTAAATAATTCGGGAGTCGAGCGCCCAATTTAATAAAAGCCATTCAACCGTCAGTTGAAACGTTTTGACATTGTTAAAACGGCCCAGTATTGTTCAATTGTTATACGAAATATTGCGATTATTTTTCATCATATTTACAATTAAAAAATATATGTTAACATGCAATTTTTTTAGAGGAAAAGGAGGCAAAAAAAATTAGATTAGATTAGATTAGATTAGATTAGATTAGATTAGATTAGATTAGATTAGATTAGATTAGATTAGATTAGATTAGATTAGATTAGATTAGATTAGATTAGATTAGATTAGATTAGATTAG